GAACTAGAGAGAGGGGACATTTTCCCTTCCCAATCCAAATCTTTGTGCCCAGAACCCCCTTGAGGGCCATGTCTGTTCCTTCAACCTGGGTCCATCCTACCTGCAGGTGTGAGACACTTGCTATATCACTCAGTTGCACAGCCATCCTCATTGGTTATAGTCAGTGAGCCTTCAGCAACTAGTTATGCTGTCAATAACGTGTCCTCATTATTTGTTAGCATAGAAGCCTGGAGATTCACTGACAATAGTATGTCCTCCATCCCAAAGGGACTTGTTTTGTGATGAATCCATATGACAAAAGCTTTCCTGAGTCTGGGCAAGAATGCCTACTACAGACAGGATAGGTACCTGTCTTGTCGTTAGCAGTACAGTCCAGTCACTGCCATAACATTTATTGATCTATACACACAACAGACCTAGGTCATGTTGATGCAGTGCAAAATCACTGAAGTTCACCATACCATCCCAAGGGCTGTTTCCCAAGTGCTTTTGCTGTGCCTCTCAATGCAGGTACAACCAAGAACTTTATCATACCATCTCAAAGCTGCCTGCGTAATCCAGGGCACGCACACATACAATCATCAATTTATGCACCTACACCATAGGCTATACTGGAGTTTGTTATGAATGGGAACCCACCACAAGCAGTTTTCTGTGACGGTGATTTCCACCCATCACTCTATGTAAAAATCCTGGTTGAAGACAAAACTGATAAGCACAGTAATAAATAATACCTCGCTTTGCTGTTCATGCTTATGTCCTTGTAATTCCTCCTGTTTACCTGGGATGTGCTTTGCCCAGCCAATGATCACCACCAGTTCCCTGTCTGCCAGGTCACAGAGGGTTGTCAGGGCTTTGATGTCACTCTCTGGCATGGTTGGATCAGGCATGGCATAGATCTTCTCTGGCTCAGCCACCAGCAAGTGGGAGACGATCTTAGTCACTGCACATTTCAAAGAAGAAGTAGTTGTTATATCTCTCATGACATATAACAGTAGAGTCGTAACACCCCTCTCTAGAAGGACCTTCCTGGGATAAGACATGACTATAGAGGCCAAAGGACCTCAGAAATGGTTTTGGTCACAACAGAATCTTCACTGCAGCTACACAAGGTGTAGTGATCTGCCTATGCCAAACCAGCACTGTACAGGAAGCTACTGTAAGGTGGTCAGCCATTGCCTCAGGTAAGTCCAACAAGGGGAGGAGGAGGCATGAATAATCAGTTGGTGGTATGTGGAAAAGTTTAGAGAACTATGGGTAGTATGGAAGAGAGAAATCAGCATGGGACCAGTTTCATTAACATAGCTTGGATACAGGAAAAGAACAGAATATCACTAAATTGATTTACATAATCTCCTAGGAAAGGTCTGGTATTTAACCCTAGGTACAATGAATACAGCACCTGAGCTGTACCTTAGGCATACCTAATCTACCTCTGCACTACGCTCATAAGAAAAAAATCCTAGTGCTGGTGACTGATAGGGGAATCAGAAGTGACAGCTGCTCCATTGTACGTTTTGGGAGACCAATAAAAAGAAACATAGTGGTTGCTCAGAGAGCCACAATTCAAGACCAATACGTACGTGGCTTTTTAGCTGGCGGAGGGATCTGTAGGCTCAGGTAAGTGCTACTCTCAGAATCCAGTCTCCTCTTGTATTTCTGACGGCCTCCACGGACTCGATCCAGACGAACACCTGCAGGTAAAACAAAATAAATCCTCATGATTCCTTAGTGCCACAGGGAACCTTGACATGCAGATGCTAAAATTTGCTAAGTAAGACGTTCCCCACGCTCCAGAGAGCTTCACTCTCCCAAACACTTGAGATCTCATCGGAACCCAGCAATCCCAATAATACCAGCTAGACTGCCTCCAGCTCTAACCATTCTGCTGTGAGCTTTATTTTTATTCAAAACATTAATGAAGACAGAAATTAACCCCGTCAAACTCTTGAATCACCATCAATCTGATGGGCAAATGAAAAGCTTTAGACCTCAGTGCCCTCTAGATGATCTTGCTTTTAAAAAGAAAGACTTTAAATGTCAATCAAACCTGCAGTTATAAAAATAAGCTTTTAGATTGTTCTTAAAAATGAGAAGTTAAATGTTCTATGACCTCTCACTGTTTATATTTGAAAAAAGTGGCCTATAGCAAATAGATTATGAACTATGAATTCAACAGAGATGTTTCAGCCTTGATCAAGGCAACTGTAATAAAAGTAGAACTCAAATAAACAGAAACGACCTCTACTACAATAAAGCAATGATAAAGCTCAAGTAGGGAGACACGGAAGAATTTGTTGTAGCTCTTTCAAAATACAGCGAATCAAACTGCAGATGGCACATTGAAAAGAGTTCCCAGTGACTGAGAAACACCAGTGACTACTGTCACCCCATGCAAAAAACCATAGCAGCATCAATAGACCTGGAACAGCAGCTCACCTGCTGTATCAGTACAAAATACACTGTTAAAAACAAATAGTGAAAAAAGCCACAGATATTTGCCCAATTGTCAGTTATTTCTGGCTAGCCATGTGGTCTCTGGTAATCAGTTGTTGTGAAATTGGGGCAATTCAGTCTTGCTGGGAGAAACAGCTATTGCAAAAAAAAAAAAAAAATCTTTCAAGATAAATGTAGGAGCATTCAAGTAGAATAAAAATTTGAATTTACAGTATACAAGTACTTCCTTAGAAACACACATGAGTTTATCTAGTCTAATCACAGGAACCAATTATGTGATACACTTACTAATCACATTGAGCCATTAATATTTTGCAATCAATCCACTGCATAAACACAAACAACTAAAAGCAAACACTCCAAATCAGTTTTGAAGTGATGCTTTTTGAACAACTTGTACACCTGAAAAAACCTGCAGTCTGCTGACAAATATTCTCCCCTAGAGAGAGGCGCATTTTTGTCACTTACACTGTGCGTTTCAATGCCACATTTGCCACATTTGCTTACTATGTCACGGAAAAGAGAAAGATTTTTAATGTAATGCTCACACCAGCCCCACTTGCACCACATAAAAGTGTTACTTGCCGCAGCATCTAGATCCTGATACTGTTCACAGCTGGAGCACCCCAACCAGCTTGACTGACAGTAGCAACAGCCCTGCAACAGCAAGAATAACCAACACCAACCAGGCCAACGGCACTCAGTTATACAGTCTGACAGCAAAATCTCTCTGGCAGTAGGAACAGCCACATGGAGGTCTAGGTGGCATTACCACAGCCATACTGTGTGGGGACCGAGGCTCACAGGCATGATGTTAGTAATTCTATATAGCTGCTTCCTTTTAAGAGTCCTGCTGCTCCCATTGAGCAGAAGAAGCGGGAATGAGCAGGCCTGGACCTCTCCAGAGCAAAGGAACTGCTGCTGCAAGTGGTTGCTATGGGAGGATGGTAGACATTGAAAGATGGAGAGAAAGACATGAAGCCAAATAAGTGAACTCAGATCAAACTGAGTAGTTTCCTTCCCCTGCCCCATTTTCTGTTTCTTACTGAGGGGAGAATTCACTGACATCCGTAAGCGTAAGTAGCATCTTTGTCCTCCGTTATCTAGTCATGTTTCTGAAAACGTTGCCCATTGCTTCTTTTACCTCCATTCCCAGCAGCAGGTAGCCTGTGGGCAAGATTCCTTCCTGGGAGCCCCAACAGATTTGAGAGTGTTTCAGAAATGTAAAAGTATGTGTTTCAGAGTATGTGAAAGAGTGATTTCAGAAAGGTCAGCCAGGAAATCCCAAACCTGAGATTATCTAGGGAGTTTGCTGAGGAACAGCACTAATAAAGTTCTGGATGAAGCAGGAAACTTTCATTTCTGTCCATTTCTTTCCCTCTATAAATGTGCCCTGGCTTCCTAAGAAAGACTTCTATTCCATGCTCTGCTGAATGAATGACACCTACCTATAAGCCATGAGAGGAGGGAGAGACACAAATTTCAGAAACTGCCAGTAAACCAAGGAACCAGGAGTGAAAACTAAAAGGGTTAGGAAGACATTGTTCAAAGAATATGGAGAAATCCAGAATAGGCTGCAGGACTTCAGACTTAAATCACAGCTCCCCAGAAGCGTCACAGGGGAGTCCATTCCTTCATGCCAGTGCACAGGATGTCAGTGGTGTAGGGAGACGCCATTCTCAGCCCAGGAGAAAACAACACACAGCCCTCCAGGATGCTTTTGCCATGCAGTTTGATAAGCAATGGGGAGGGGGGTCTGGGAGGGGTAGGGAGGAAATGAGGGAAGGAGCTTGTTTCCTTCTCCCAAGGAGAAGCATGCCATCCTCCAGTGCTTGGCAGAGGGATGGCTGCACAGGTTGCAGCAGTATTAGGGACCCTCAATCAGATTATAAGGACACAAAGGACTTAAGTGCATTAAAAAAAGATAAGAGAGACGCAGAGAGATTTACCCTCCATCCATCCTTCCCTCACTGAGCAGATAGAGGTCTGTTTGCCCAAGGACTTTGGCTTGTTAATTTTGAACAAGTGTTTGTCCTCCTCTTGTTCCCCATCCTGTGTGACACTCCTTGAGGCAAATGTTTTCAATCAGCGTTTGCAGAGCCACTGTTCTACTGTGTCGTCATCACTCCAGCCGCAGAGCCAGCGAACAGGCTGACCCCTGTGTAGCACATCCCAGCGCCAGTTGCTGAGTGCAGTGACCTGCAGGTGCTACAGCAAACAAAAGCATTTCAACCCGAGTCCCTGACTGTGAAACTCCAGACAGAAGCATCATGGCAAAATCCCTTCCCCAAAGATCCGACAGCCTCATGGGTCACATCTAGATGGAAGGAAAGGGCATGGCCAAAAATCAGGACCTGGTACTGAGCTGTGGTATTCAGACGGCTGGGTAATGCCTGCTGTTCTACCTGATTTCCTCAGTGGCCGATTTTAAGATAGGCAGGCTGGTTACAATGCAGCTCCGAGAGGGATGCTCAAGGGCATTAAAATGGAGTGTGGAGGCGCAGTGGGCAAGCTCAGAGAAGCAGCATGAAGGAAAGCACTGAGCAGAGAAGAAATGGAGGGTGATGTAAACTGAGATATGAATGGAAGTGAGAAAGTGTAAGGAGAAAGGAGATGAGAGAGAGGGCTGGAGCAGGGCTGAGTGGTACATACACTGTAATCCCAAGGGTGGATTTCACACCAAACATGCAGCTACCTGAGCTTTAACTGCAAGGTGCAAGGGCAACTTACAAGATGCAGCCTGTCTGTACTGAAGACTCTTACATAGGATTTGGTGCCACAGCCTGACAACAAGACAGCAGAAAGAGAAAACAGTTGCCTTCCAGCTCCTGCACAAACCCATTTCTCACATGGATCACAACTGGCTAGTTCCCAGGAGAGAAGGCATTCATCCCACAAAACTGTCACCACCATGGGCACTCCTGGATGCTTCTCCTTGACAGTATCAGCAAGGAGGGGCTGCTAGAGCAGCAAAGGGAGAGCTTATATACAAAATGTGAGATGCAACAATATAGGACAAAGTTTGGGAAGTACCACCCCTTAATAACCTTCCTTTCTGGCAGCGCTTCATCACAAATGAAGGCTATCTGTGCTGGAAACATCCACCCTCCTCCCACTCTTCTGTGTTCCAGTGAAGTACTGCTGTGCATTGAATCTTGTTATGTTTTGAGGGACCTTGCATAAGAGTCCTGCCACCCCATCTGACCTAGGTGTGGAAGCTGACCCCAGTGTCCACCATGGGGACTGAGTTCCAGCTCACCGGCAGCACACTCTCAGCTCCTGAGCCCCCTCTGACCTAGCAGGGAGGAGGGCAGGGCCAGGACTTCTGCAGGACATTTCTGCTCAGCATGCTGCCTGGGGTAGGGATGTCAGTTTTCTAAGTGTCCTGTGGGTGCCACTCGTGTTCCAGGCGCTCTTGCAGAGGTGTGTGCCAGCACCAAGCCTCTGCAGTGGGAGAGCTGATCTGCTGATCTGTTCAAGCTCCCTGCTTTCTCTGACATGCCCCTCACAGAGATGTCTGCCCGAGAACTTTGGGATCAGATGTCCCCTTGCTGACTTGATAACATCAGGCTTTGAGGGTTTTTTTCTTAATGGAAGGAAAATAATTCCAGCTTTTTTTAAAAGCTGGACCCAGGCCGAGTCTGTTGGAAGTAAAAATAGCCGAGTATGCAGAGGCAACAGCACACAGAGTCAGGTTTAGTTTCTCTTTTATTTTCTGGGGACTAAAAATACTCTTAAAAGCTCTGTGAAGCTAAGCCCTGGCCAGTGGGAAATGCAGTCTAGGCCCAATATCAGCTGTCGCGTCAAATTACTAGCCTCACCTCACTTTCCATCAAGTCCTATCACATGCCCATGAATTGATAGGAACAGAAAGATCTATCTTGCCAAAAGAGCTAACGGAGGAGCCAAGCTACCGGGTTTGCATGGTACAATATGTGTCTAGACCAAGAAGGACACAACCAAAGGGAACAGAGGGCAAGTGCTGGCCAGGGAGGAATGCCTGTGGGGCTGCTTTTGCTGAGCTTCCCCGATACACCAGCCAGGTCCTGTGCCCGCTGCCCACCTAATCCTTGAGCTGCAGTTTCTGCATCAATGCAGCCTGCTTGCTCTCCCAGTGTCTGAGCTGGGGTTGTGCTCTGCAGCTAACAGAGATGCCCCTGTCCCCAGGAGCTGCAATGTGAAGTACATGGATTGGCACTGCCAAAGGAAGTTTGAAGGCATAGGCTAAGAGCGGAGA